CAAATCCGCTCAAAATCGGCCCCTGGACTTCTCCCAGGATCCATCCTGCTCCGTCCTTTCGAGGCGGCTCCAGCCGTGGCGACGAGGAGGCCGCGACGAGGAGGCCCAACAGGCAAGAAAGACGCCAGGAGGGCCGCCCTGTCTCCCCTCGACTGGCCCTCCTCCGAGTACGATAGGGGCTCGACCACAAGAAGCCTTCCACAAGAAACCCAGCCCTGAGACCCACGCTTCCCGTGGCAAAAGCATCGAAACCCAAGAACCCCAGGGCACCCTCGAGGCAAGCAGGGCGTTGCTCTTGGCGTGGGCCCCCCTGCAAAGGGCCACCCCCCCTGCCCTCCGCCTGCCCCGGGGGCCCCTGGCGGCCGCCCCGCCCCCCGCCCCTCCGGCGAGCGTGGTCGCCGGTGCCGGCCGCAAGCACGCGCGCGGCGCCCGCGGCGAAGAGGACCAGCTGGTGGGCATCGCCATGGTGGGCCTAACGGGGCGGCAAGGAGGCTGCGGCAGGAGGAGGAGGAGGAGGAGGAGGAGGAGGAGGAGGAGGAGGAGGCGGAGGAGGAGGAGGAGGAGGAGGAGAGGAGGCGGAGGAGGAGGAGGAGGAGGAGGCAGAGCCGCAGGACCTCTGCGGGCCGCTCACAGAAAAGAGCTTCGCGAAGAGAAATTGGCGCGCACGGCGACGTCGACGGAGGGCATCGCCGTGCCTGCGCGCAGTCTGGGCAGATGCGCTATAAGATCTGCGAGGCCTCGCTAGGCACGCAGAGCCCGTGCAATGTTATGGGTCACGTCGGCGGCGCGATGGGGTTCCACCGCCTCGGGGCGAAACTCTCGGGTCCCGTAGTATTCATAGAATCGCCAAGCGGGGGATATAAATCGCCACGGGGGGGTACCTCGTCGCATGGCGGACACGCAGTCACATGCTAGCGGTGCCATGCGCGGCGCAGCCGCCGACGCGCTCTCTCGGAATCCCTCGTGGGGCTCGCTCGATCTCGCTCGGGCGCTTCCCTTCCCAGGAGCAAGAAACGGCATAGGCATAGTCCGCGTTCTGAGGTGCGCGCGGATTTCTTGGCTCGGCGCTGGGCCCCTCCCTGGCAGGAGGGCCCGACGCAGATCCGAGAGATACGCGCGGAGCTCCGAAAGTTTCTGTTCAGGCCGTTTGTGTTATTCCGATCCAAGCGCCGCTGTTGATGCTTTCTCTCTTCCTCCTCGGTGCTGCCTGCGCCAGCGTGGTTGAGCTGCCTGTCGGCGATGGTTTTCGCCATTGTCGTTCGTGCATTACTCGCATTCCTCCTTCCCCTCCTGCTTCTCTTCTTCCGCTGCCTAGGTGTGGGTTTGGGGGGTCCCCGGAAACACACACACACAGGTCGCTGGCGCTCCCCGGAGGCCTCGGAAGGCCGCCAAAAAGGCATGCACAGGCTCGAAGACAGCAGGCAAATATACCTGCACGTCCGAAAACCTCAAACCTCGATCGTCGTGATCGCCGCCGCCGCCGCCGTCGCCGTCGCCGTCGCCATCGCCGTCGCCGTCGTCATCGTCCTCCTGATCCTCAGCAGTCGGAAGCGCGCCTGCACCAGCTCACCCTCTGCGTCCAGGTCCAGCTGGTAGCGCCTGAGACGCAACGGCGGCAGGAGGAACGCCTTCCCTGTCTGGGCATGGCTGCCACCAAAAAAGGCGGAAGCAATATCCTCCTCCTCCTCCTCCTCCGCCTCCTCCTCCTCCGCCTCGTCGAGGGGAGTGAGCGAGGTTCGAAGATCAAGGTTTTCGAAGGTTGGGCGCCTTTGGGATGCGGGAGGCCTCTGGAGACCTCTTCATCCTTCCTGTCCTCCTCCTCTTCCGATTCTTTACTCCTGTTCGCACTAGTTTGTAATACGTTCTCGCGCCGTCCTCCGCAAGCGACCCGAACCAAAGTCAAACCGGCCCCTTCCACGATGCCCATCAAAGAGCTTGCTTTCATCATGGACGCCTCGTCGGCGGCGTTGACAAATTCGTGGCGGGAACGGGATGCGGCGGGGACGCAGCGCACATCGCGAGAGAATTGTTTCGACACTGGGCTTCGATAGTAGCAGCCAGCGGGAAATCAGCCGCACGTTCTGTTCCAAAGCACTGGGTGCTTACATCAAAAGCCAACTGGAAATCAATTGCACGTTCGCGCAAAAACCGTTCTGACGCTGGGCTTCCAAGGCAGGGAAGGCAACCGCGCGTTCAGTTTGTACGCGAATGTACACTCACGTGTACACAATTGGCCGCGTGAGAAACGCACGAACACGCGAGCAAGATATGTTCGCCAGCGTGAGCCCCAAACAGTGTGGTTCTAACAATGTATGTGGTGCCATCTATGTGGAGGGATCTATTTGGTGCAATATATGTGGAGCGACATATGTGGTACAACATATGTACAGTTATAGTGTATAACCTATGTTGTGAAGTCTGCGACCTGCTACATATACTTTGTATATGTGCATATATATATATATATATATATATACAAGACAGTACTGGCGCTTGGCGCCATATGCAGGCGGAATGGCGGGAAAGTCGCACAAACAATCTAGCGATAACTCCTTGTGATTTGTTTTGGCTTCGCCGTTCTAACACGGTAATCCGCTATCTTTCCTGCATGCTTCTTTTTTCTCATTCTCGCCCTACCCTGCGCATTCTTCCCCGTCTTCCTCAGCTCTTTTTCTGCGGAGGCTCCTCCTTGGACAGCCTTTGGAGGCCTCACGGACATGTTCCAGGCTTTCCGAAGGCCTTCTGGAGGCCTCCTGGGCGTCTTCTGGGGGCCTCGGGGGGTCTCCTCGGGTCACCCTGCCTCCAACCGCCGTCTCCCTGCAAGACTGGGTCACGATTCGGAATGCTCAGAGGGTGTCTTGGGGCCATCTTGGGCCGTCATGGGGCTCTCGTAGGCCATCTTGGAGCCCTGTTGTGCCGTCTCGGGGGGCTCTCTCGGACTACCTGGAAGCCCTTTCGGACGGCTTCGGGGCGATTTTCGAGCCTCCCAGGCGGTCTCGGACGCCCAGAAGATCGAAGAACAGGGCATCCCCAAAATCATGCAAAAACCTCCGAAAGTCAATGTTTTGCTGCGCATGGGACGCCTCTTGCAAGTCTTCTTCGGGTCGTCTTCGGGCGTCTGGTGGGCATCTGGGGCCTCTTGGGGCCCTCGGAGGGGGCGTTCGGCTGCCCTCCTGCCCGACTTGGGCCCGCTGCCCAGGCCCAGCAAGGGCAGCAAGGGCTTCCAGGAGCTCTGAAACGCCTGGGGTAGGGGGAAAACAAACCTACCTCGCTTTTGACCGCCTTCGCTTCCAAGAGATACCAAGCGATGCCAAACCACGGCCTGTACTGGTCAGGCCGCTCGACGAGGAGGCGCGTGGTATGACTTGGTTTTGCCTGGAAGCGAAAGCGGGGTAGGTAATTCACGCTCTGATGGGGGGCCTCCTGCAGGGGCGTCCAAAGGGTCCCCAGGGCACGGATCCTGGGGTCCCGAGGGTCCCGGGATCCGGGGGGTCGATCTCGAGGAAATGGGGCCGGGCAATAGAAGTATGTATATGAATGGGAACATGCCTACTCATATATTTAAAAGCCTGGGGACGCCGGAAAAGGCCCCCGCCCCCCCCCCCACACGAATTTGGCCCTCCCTGGGCCTCCGGGCATCCCTTCAGACGACCCGGGAGAACCTCACGAGAGCCCGAAGACGGCCCCAGACGGGTTCCAGGCGATCGGGCGCGCTCCAGAAACGATCCCAGAGAGCCCCAATACGGTCAGCGACGACCCCCAAGAAGCCGTCATGCCGCCAAAGGTCGCTACAAAACGTCCCAAAAGGCCTCCGAGAGCATTCCCAAGAAGGCCAAAGATCATTGATTTTCTGTTGGTTTTCGGTGAACTTTGCGGTTCTCCTCTTTTCGGCTTCCCGACGCACCAAAACGGCCGAAGCCGCCTGGGAGGCTCGAAAATCGCCCCACAACGATCCGAAAGGGCTTCCAGGCAGTCAAAACGGCACAACAGGGATCCAAAATGGCCCTAAGAGAGCCCCATGGCGGCCCAAAATGGCCGCAAGACACCCTCCGAAGCATTCCAAATCGTGACCCGGTCGTTCAGGGAGACGGCGGTTGGAGGCAGGGTTGCCAGAGGAAGCCCCCAGAGGCCCCCAGAAGACGCCCAGGAGGCCTCCAGAGGGCCTTCAGAAAGCCTGAAAAACTTGTGTGACTTTTGTGACGACCCCAGAGGCTGTCCAAGGAGGAACCTCCGCAAAAAGAGGTGAGGAGGATGGGGAGAATGCGCAGGGTATGGCGAGAATGAGGAAGAAGAAATATGGAGGAAGGATAACAAATAACATGACGGCGATGCCGGAAAAGGCAACAAGGAGTTATCGCTAAATTGTCGGTTTGACGTTCCTGCCATTCCACCTGCATACCAAACTTCAAGGACCAAGGTGCATGGTGCGAAGTCCGCTGGCGCCCTTGTGGGGCCACCAGGCTGTAGGCCGGAGGTTCGCAGTTTCCTGTGCCAGTTGCAGCTTCCAGTTTCCACTGTTACGGTTCTGCTTCTTGCTGCTTGCTGTTCCTTGTTGAACTCTTCTTGCTGCTTACTATTCCTTGTTGATGGACCGCGCGAAGGGGGGAGGCCCACAACGGGCATTTGTATTACGCCCAAATCGTATTGTCTGAGTTGCTGGGGTGGCTAAAAATTGACACCCCTCACGCAGAACGGCGGGGTCGGGGTCCAAAAACACATGGGATTTGCCACATGTCTGAAATTCGGTGGCACCCCTCACACAGATCGGCGGGGTCAGGGTCCAAAACACACATGGGATTTGCCACATGTTTCAAATTCGGCGGCACCCCTGACGCAGATCGGCGGGGTCAGGGTCTAAAAACAAAAAGGATTTGCCACATGTCTGAAATTCGGTGGCACCCCTCACGCAGATCGGCGGGGTCAGGGTCCAAAAATCAAGAGGATGTGCTACATGTTTGAAATTCGGTGGCACCCCTCACGCAGATCGGCGGGGTCAGGGTCTAAAAACAAAAGGGATTTGCAACATTTCTGAAATTCTGTTGCACCCCTCACACAGAACGGCGGGGTCAGTTTCCAAAAACAAAAAGGATGTGCCACATGTCTGAAATTCGGTGGCACCCCTCACGCATATCGGCGGAGTCAGGGTCCAAAAACACAAGGGATGTGCTACATTTTTGAAATCCGGTGGCACCACTCACGCAGATCGGCGGGGTCAGGGTCCACAAACACAGAGGATTTGCCACTTTTCTGAAATTCGGCGGCACCCCTCATGCAGATCGGCAGGGTCAGGGTCCAAAAAGACACAGGATTTGCTACATTTCTGAAATTCGGCGGCACCCCTCATGCAGATCGGCAGGGTCAGGGTCCAACAACACAGAGGATTTGCCACGTTTCTGAAATTCGGCGGCACCCCTGACGCAGATCCGTAGGGTCAGGGTCGAAAAACAAAAAGGTCCCGACACTGCTTCACGGCGAAGCCGAAGCCTCATGACTTCGCTCTTCCATGGCCCCATCCTCCGAGAGAGGGGGGGCCAACGGCAGGGGGCGAAGCCCTTACGGATAAAACATACACACATGCATACATACATACATACATACATACATACATACATACATACATACATACATACATACATGCACATACATACATACATACATACATACACATACATACATACATACATACATACATACATACATACATACATACATACATACATACATACATACATACATACATACATACATACATACATACATACATACATACATACATACATACATACATACATACATACATACATACATACATACATACATACATACATACATACATACATACATACATACATACATACATACATACATGCACATACACACATACATACGCATACATGCATACATACATACATACATACATACACACACATACATACATACATACATACATGCATACGTACATACATACATAAATACATACACACATATACATACATATATACATACACACATACATACATGCACACATGCATACATGCATACATGCATACATGTATACATTCATACATGCATACATGCATACTTGCATACATGCATGCATACACACATGCATACACATACATACACACATACAGACACACACACACATATACACACCTAGGTGCATGCATGTATGCGTGAGTGCATACATACATGCGAATATACATACATAAGCACATACAAACATGCATGCATGCATACATACATGCACACAATCATGAGAACTGGGTGCAGGCATGGGGGATGTGGCGCATGCGGGCGCCAAAAAGAGTAGGCCAACGGCTACGGTTTCATGTGTATGCGCACGCTTGCAGAAATGTCTGGCAGTGAATGACAACAACAGGCCTACGTAGACCCGCACATTGGCCCGCCCGGGACTCAGCTGCCCCGGTCCTTGCGGAGGAATGGGAAGCCATGCGGATAAATGCCAAGCAAACCGAGGCAATGTCAAGCAATGTTGCAAAATACGAAGCAATGTTAGTTAAGCCGAGGATGTCATGTTGCAGCGGGTCGCAACAAGGCACGCGAATGTGAAAAATTCGAAGAATGGACCGAATCCCGGGTTCGCAGCAGATTTTCCGGAAATGTGGTTGCTAACCCGGGATCCGGGTCAATTTTAAGGAAAAAACCGTGCGGGCTTTGTTGGAGAGCCCAGGCGGGCCGGCATGGCGCCCTGTCTCCCCGTGCCTTCTTAGGCTTCTCTTGGGCGCCTTCTAAAGGCCTCTTGGGCTTCTTTTTCGCTCATTTGGGGCTTCCTTGCGTTCTGGGGCCCCCCTTGACTTCTTGGGGTTCTCTTGGGCGCCTTCTGGGGGCCTCTTGGGCTTCATTGTGGCTAATTTGGGGTTGCCTTGCGCAGCCTTGGGGTACGTAGGGCCTCCAGTATCGCCCCAAGACGACCGAAAAAAGCCCCCAAGAGAGCCTCTAGACGGCCCCCAAACGAACCAAAAAGGCCCCAAATGCTCCCAGAAGGCGCCCAAGCGAACCCCAAGAAAGCACGGGAGGCCCCCCAAAAGGCCATGGGAGGTCACCAGCTGGCTGTTGTGGACGCTGCGAAGACCCGAACAGCGAACATGCTGAAAATACACGTTTCCCGAGGGAATGAAGCGATTTTTGCATGAGGGCCTCCTGGGCCGTTCTGGGGGCCTCTGGAGGCCATCTGGCTCCTTCTTGGAACTCGCTTGTGCCGTCTTGGATCTTTCGTCGGCATCTCTGATCACCGCTCTGATCGCTTGGGGTCTGCCAGCAAGACCCGTCTAGGCGCCCTGGGAGGTCGCAGACGAGCCATGGGACTTTTGGCAAGGATGTCCGGGGGGCCCGGAAACCCTGGATCCTGGGGGTCAGTTTTTTTTGGGGGGGTCCCACCCCCCGGCTTGCAAGAATAGAGGAAGAGGACTCGATATATGTATATATATACACATATATATATATATATATGTATATATATACAGTGTGCAAGACGTGCGGTGCAATCTATGTGGTACAATAGAATGTGATGCGATCCACGTTGAGCAATACATGTGGTGGAACACCTGTGGTGCAATCCAGGTATGGCGCAATCTATGTTGCGATATCTAAGTTGTGTAATATAGGTGGTGCCGTCTATCTGGTGGGCTATGTCTACGTTTGTGCATGTACAGTGCAATGTATGTTGTGCACAACCTATGTTGCGCACTATGTACAGACCTGTCTAAATGGAGCAAACCATGCAATATGTATATATAGCTGTATATACATATATATATATATATAGATGGTGCGATCTATATTGAACAATCTATGTGGTGCAATTAATTTCTGTTCGCAGTGAGTTGTCCACTCCACTGCTCGTGCAAACATCCCATCCACCCACCCGCAACTTGGTTTGCAAAATCTCTTAAGACCGTGACGGTGGGTACCACATGGCACTTGGCAACAACAGCGACGCCGACGACGACAGCGACAACGACGATGACGACGCCGCCGACAACGACTACGACGACACCGACGACATCTCCAACGACTTCGACGATGCCGACAACGACGACGACGACGACGACACCGACGACGACGACGACGACGACACCGACGCCGACGACGACGATGACAACGACGACGACGATGACGACGCCGACGACGACGTTAACGACGACACCGACGACGACGACGACGACGTCAACGACGCCGACGACGACGACGACGACGACGACGACGACGGCGGCGGCGACGACGACGACGCCGACGTCGACGACGACGAAGACGACAACGACGCCGACGCCGACGACGACGACGAAGACGACGACGACGTCGCCAGCGAAGACAACGAGGAAGGAGGGAGGACGACGACGGCGACAACGACGACAACGACGAGGGAGGAGGGAGGACGGCGACGACGCGAACGACGAAGAAGGAGGAAGGACGGCGACGCCGACGACGGCAACGACGAGGGAGGAGGGAAGACGACGACGACGACAACGACGACGACGACGACGACGACGAAATAGGAGGGACGACGACGAGACGCCGACGACGGACGACGACGACGACGTGGGAGGAGGAGGAAGGACGACCACGGCGACAACGACGACGGAAACGACCACGACGCCAAAGAGGACGACGACGACAAACACGAGAAAAGACAGAGGACGACGTAGGCGACGACGACGACGACGACGCGGGAGGAGGGAGGACGGTGACGACGACGACGACGACGACGACGCAAGAGCGCGCGCGCACGCTTTTGTTGAAAATCCGTGTTGCGAAACCTTGGGTTTTTGCATGTTTTTTGGACGCACGATTTTGAAATCCTTCCGAAACCGATGGGTTTTGAAGGTTTTCGGCATGCGCCCGCGACGACGCGCGCGTCTGCACTTCGTCCCTTTTTTTGCAGAGGATTCTCGCGACGGCACACGCGCAAGGGCGTTCGACAGATTTCGACATGCGCGCGCGCGAAGCCCGTTTGGTAGCATTTTGTGAAAATCTTGAAAAACCCATGGTTTTCTTAATATTTCGCAAGAGCTCGCGCGGAATTTTTTTTAGCAAATCACTGTTGCGAAACCATGTGTGTGTTGTATGTTTGTTTTGCAAACTCGATTGCGAAATCCTTCCGGCACCGAAGGTTTTTAAAGGATTTCGGCATGCGCGCGCGACGACGCGCGCGTGTGCACTTCGTCCCACTTGTTGCAAGGGATTCGTGAAAAAGTGTTACATATGTTAGAACGAAAAATGTCACCGCATAGTGTTTTTTTACAAAAGGAACCTCAGGGGGGGGAACCCGGCCTGCCTGGGATGATATGATTTCATATTTAGGATGGACGACTGTGCAGAAAAAATATGAAATCATAGTACCCCAGGGGGAGCTGATAAGTCCCGGGGGGGGGGGGTACAGTCTATTCTTCATGTAGAAAGGAGAATTCACTTGGCGAACTTGAAGTTGTCGACTCCACTGCTCGCGCGATCATCCCACCCACCCACCCGTAACTTGGTTTGCAAAACGCACGCGGGAGCGATTGCAATGAATGCTTGGTGTTGGCTGGTGCATCTCTGCGGCCCGGCTAGCCCGCGCATGCTCGCGCGCGCAGCGGCCAGCTAGTTTGGCGCGACCGACGCGAACGCGGTGGCGCTGACCGCTCGGCACCTCCCACCGGGCACTTCAGTGCGAATCGGCGAATTGGGCGGGCGCGGAATCATGGCAACGCCGACAACCGTAGGCACAACGATGATCGTAGCGATGCTGGTGGCGATGCTGAAGCGACGAAGGGGCAGCCAGTGACGGCGCCGATGCTGATCACGCCGACGACGATGACGGCGTTTTCGTGCTGGTGATGAAGGTTTTGGAAGGAGTTCGACATGCGCGCGCGGCAGACGCGCGAGTGGCCAGCATGGTATTATTTGATACGGATCGTGCCTCGCCAGCACGCGCGCAAGGGTGTTCGAACGATTTCGACACGCGCGCGCGCCAAGCCCGCTTGGTAGCGGGAAACTGTTGGAAAAAACCGACGGCTCTTTAAGAGCAAGGGCGCGCGCAAGCATTTCGGCGGAAATCCGTGTTGCGAAACCCTGTGCTTTTGTATGTTTTTTGGACAGCCGGTTTTGAAATCCTTACGAAACCTAAGGTTTTTTTAAGGATTTCGGCATTCGCGCGCGACGGCGCGCGCGTGCGCAGTTCGTTTCAGTTTTGCCATAAGCGAGTGCGCGCGCATAGTCTTGATAAGCGATTTTCGGTAAGCGAAAACTGCTGATTTTTGATAAGCGAGTGCGCGCGCATAGTATTTTTTGCAATGGATGAGGGCGGGGGCGATACCAGCCTGCCTGGGATGGTATGAATTCATATTTAGGATGGACGATGGACCAGAACCATATGTAAATTGCAATACGAAGAGGGTTGCCGATAATCCCGCGGGGGGGTACAGTCTATTCTCTGTTTGCAAAAGAGAATATATGCGTGGTGCAATCTATGTGGTGCACAACATATGTTGTGCGCTCTATGTGGTGTGCAATACATGTGGGCGGCGGCAATCTACTGCTTTGCAACGCAAAGCAATTCAACGCGACGCGAAGCCACGCAAAGCCACGCAAAGCAACGCAAAGCAGCGAAAAACAACGAGAACAATGCAAAGCAATGCGCAGCCATGCAAAGCAGGTGGGAGGAGGGGAGAGGGAGTACAAAGCAAAGCAATCCTAAGCACGGCGTAGCAATGCACAATGCAAAGCAATGCAGAGCACTGCAGAGCAATGCAAAGCACGGCGTAGCAATGCAAAGCAATCAAAGAATTGCGAGACAATGCATGGCACGGCGTAGCAATGCAAAGCAAAGCAAAGCAACGCAATGCAAAGCACAACAATTTGCAATACGTAGCAATGCAAAGCCATGCAAAGCCATGCAAGCAACGCATCGCAATGCACAACAAGGCGCAGATGACGGGCGGTGACGAGGCGGCGACGACTACATCGGGCGGCGACGAGGCGGCGACGGGGCGGCCACGGCGACTACATAGCCGCCAGAGCGGTACACCGGCCCAAACAAGTGCAGGGAAGAACGGTGTTGGCATTTCTGGCGTCGCCTGCAGGTCTGTGCTTGGGCACATTCTTGGGGGGCCAACCTCCAACTCGCACGCGCGCGTGCGCCGAAGAGGAGAAGCCTCCCGATCAAGCCCCGCTCAGAGTCGATCCCCAGACGCACTCCAGCGCACAACTCTGGCAAGCTGTTCGAGCCGCGTCTGACCATGGCCACGAGGACCCCTCCGAGTCAAACGAAAAGCGAGCACCAACACAAACGAGACTGGAGCCGCTTCCTTAGACGGAGGCCAACGTTGTTGGAGCTCGCCATTCTTCCAACGACCCGCGGAGTCCTGAAGAGCAGCCTCCTGGGGAACTGGACATGCAGCCCGTAGAAGGTGCTCAGCCGCTCCACAGCGTCGGGCATGTCATCGGCCGCGTTCCTTGGGAGGGTCGCCAGAACAGGCCGGGCGTGGGAATGATCATCAGGAGCAGGAGGAGGAGGAGGAGGAGGAGGAGGAGGAGGAGGAGGAGGAGCAGCAGACCTGCCATTGGGGAGGGCAAAGACCTGGGCCGACCAGGCCCAATTTCAATACCGCAGAAGCAGGGCTGCAGACTTCCATGCCTGCGACTGTTCTACATCCCTCCTCGAAAATAAACGCATGCTTTTTTTCCCCCGACGTGGCGGCGCTCCTGGACCCCAACTTCAACGTTCGCGCCGAGACTGGCGACTGCGTCTTTTTTGCTCGCACCGCGGGCCGCGTTGCGCGCGTCGATCAGCATTGAAATTCGGGGGAGAGGGGCTTGGATAGAAACCTGCGTGTGATTTCGAGGAGAGCTGCAGGGCACTAGACTTCGCGCACCGCGCTCCGCGATGCGCGACTGCCTTCGCGCCCTCGCGCCTTCGCGCTGGCCTCCGAGAGAAGGGCAGCCGCTCTGGCCCGGGCCGGGACGCGCTACTCTGCTCGCCCTCCTCTGGGGGGGAGCTGGGGCTGTCGGACGGGACAGGCGCGGAGGAAGAGGGCAGATCAGCAACAGCAGCACGACGGGCAGCGGCGAAACACTACAACATCGGGAGCCGCACGTTTCCGCTTCCGGGGGTCGGCTGAATGGCGAAGGGCTCTGGCATCACCATTCTCGGACTAAGGCGGATCCAACAGTTCACCAGACAGGCCTCGTAATACATTAGCGAACACTCATGCCACACTCATCTGGCAATGCCCTCCACCCCCAATGATCAACGTTGGCGGTGGGTTTAATGAGTTGCACTTCGACCGCAGTCTCCCCCGCGTGGGCCAACGTTGAATTTTGGGAAGAGGGGGAGGGGCCAATAATTGTTCCCCTCTACCAGAGGGCGTTCTGCAGAGCTCCCAGCACATCCCCGCGCAGCCCCTCCAGGACGAAACCATGCGCAGGATGTTTGGGGGCAGACCCTAGCCAAGGCAACGCATGCAGTCGAATGAATCGGGATCTTGACCACTGCGGGTGCAATGCTAGCTTGCAGTAGCTGTAACCGAGCAGCGGCAACGTCAACCGACACGAATTAGCCGTCGTCGAGCAGACTTTCTGGCCGCATCTTCCGTAGCGAAAGAAAAGCACCAACTGACCGGCAACCAGTATCGGACCGACGTAGACTGCTTACGGGGGACGGCAGCGAGGAGAGGGATAAGGGAGGAGGGATAAGGCGGAAACGTGGAACGAGGGGGAGGGACCTCCTCCACCCTGACCCATTCTCCACATTTTCGTTTTCCTCTCACCATTCCTCTTTTCTTCTGCTCCTGCTGCTCTTCCTCATCCTGCTCCTGCTTATCTTCCCTCCTCTCCTCCTTCCCGCTTAAGCTTGCATCAAGGACCCTGAGCTTTGTCAGCGACGGAAGGCTTGACGTGCTGGCCCAGATGTTTATGAAGTGCGGAGCACTGCTGATGTGGCCATCCGATTGCATCATCACCCAGCTTTAGTGCCTCTCCAAACCCACGGGGAGAAAGGGGGGCGCCTTCAAGCTTCAATGAACACCTTGTTGAGGGTCTGGGGGCGTGCCAGGATGCTGATAGCTGCTCCATGGGAAGCCTATCACATGCTCCACTGTTTATGGGGGACTGGAGATTGGAGCTGCAAGGTCCTCTTCAGACAGTGCCTCTTTGTTGAACCTGGACTCGGGAATCGCGCACGAGGTGCGTGAAAATGGCGTCACCGTGCTCAGTCCCCAAACGGTGCTTGCACTCTGGGATTCTTCCTGCGTCTACCTCTTGGATTCTCATAGCCCTGCCGCGGCTCCCAGGAAGCCACAGGCGAGCCCCACCCCTGCGGGTCCGCTTTCCGAACGGGGCGCCGGGGCTCAGAATCCGACTGACGTCGGCAACCACTTTTTTGATTGGCGGCTTCAAGGACAGATCCAGGAAGCGGGACGGTCTCGGCTGGGGCACAGAGCGAGATAATTAGCAACGACGGCACGTAGGCCGACGCAGCAAGTGCACGTGCCAGGGACAAAATGCCCCCCATTACGTCGGCAACCGCACGCCGCCACGCGAACCCCTGGCCGGGGGTGGCCACCGACGCCCCCCGCGCCGAGCCCTGCTCCGCACGGGGCGCGGTGGGGCTCTCTCGCAGGCGGCCGCGGAGCTTCGCCGCGCCTCTGCCCCCCCCCTCGGCATCGCTCGGACGTCCCTTCCCCGTGCATTTTTCGATTCCGTGCGTGTTTTTTTTTTTTTTTTTTTTTTTTTTTTTTTTTTTTTTTTTTTTTTTTTTTTTTTTTTTCTCGCTCTAGGATCTAGGGGGTGCTCCTCGAGGGCCCTCGCCGAGAAAAAAATGGCACACACGCCCGAGCGATGCCTCTGCCCCCCGCTGCCGCCCGTGGGCGCCCCGCGGGGCGTGCCGCCCGTGGCGCGCCCCGGTGGCGGCGCCCCGGTGGGCGCTCGCCGTGCGCTGCGCCGGCGGCGGCCTGCGGCGTCGCCCGGTGGCCGGGTGGCGTCGCGCCTCGGGGGCGCCGCGTGGGCGCCGCGTGCGCCGAGCGGGCCTGCCGAGGGTTCGCCCGGCGGCCAGCAGGTGCCCAGTCGCGGGCGCCTCGTCAGCGGCGACAGCCTGCGCCACAGAGCCTGCGCCACAGAGCCTGCGCCGCATAGCCTGCACCACCTCGCTTCGTGTATGCCCCGCGGGCGCACGGCTTGCACCACATCGACTGTACCATGTTTGCTTGCACCATGTTGCTTGCACCGCTCAGCTTCCACATCCACACTGCACATGCTTAGTTTGGGATTCGCGCCGCCAAATTCAACAACGAACACTCCCCCCCTCCCCCCTTGGACGCCTTCGAGCCCAGCTCCTGCCGACCCCCCCTGTGAAACCAGTGAGCGGGAGGGAAGGGCCAGAGAGCCAACCCTACCTGTAATCCATACGTAGGATGGAGACGGCAAATGTTCTCTTCTCGCACGATGAGAGGGTACTATCATCGACAACGTCGAAAACTTGCGAACCGAAAGAGCAGTGGTACAGGTCAGAACAGACGTAAGAGAGAGTACGCACACACATACGCACACACGCACACTTTGTGGCGCCGCGGCCTCGCGCGCGGCGACGAGGCGTAGAAAACCCGGAGAAGCAGAGCGGCGGTCGCGCGCGGCCAGCCACTCACAGAAGGGTGCGGGGAGCCGCCGGAGGGGATCAACCATGTCATGCGCGCACCCGCGCGCGGGCAGCGTGGGCGGGCAGGGGGGACGACGACACAGAGATACGCCGACGGGCCAAGTGCGACAACACGTGGACCCGAGGGGAGGGAGAGCGCCACCGAAGGACTGGCCGAGGAAGGGGAGCGAGGCAGGCCAGGACAGCCCGGCGCCGACCGCGGGCAGGCCGGGCGGCAGAGGAGGAGTCGGCGATCTTGCGGCCTCGCGCGCGGCGACGAGGCGGCGAAAGCAGTGAAGCACACTGGGAACGCGCGCGGCTGGCCCCCCAGAAGAAGGGGCAACACACACACACACACCTTGGCCGTGGCCGGGGCTGCGCCGAGGCGCGCACCTGTACCGACAGAGCTCCCGCGCCAGGGAGCCCGACTTCCTCACGCGCTCCCGCCTGCACGGCCGGTTCCGGGGCCGCCACCCCTCCTCGGCGGTCCTTCTGCCTGGCCTCCTCCTTCTCGTGCTGCTGGAACTCCTGCTCCTCATCCTCCTCCTCCTCCTCCTCCTCCTCCTCTTCCTCCTCCTCCTCCTGCTCCTGCTCGACCTCCACATCCTCCCGCTCGAACTCGTCTCGCTCCTGCTCCCGCAACTCCTCCTCCTCCTCCTCCTCCTCCTCCTCCTCCTCCTCCTCTTCCTCCTCCTCCTCCACCACCACCTCTTCCTCCTCCTGCTCCTGCTCCTCCTCCTCCTCCTCCTCCTCCTCCTCCTCCTCCTCCTCCCTCCGCTTCCTCCTCCTCCTCCACCTCCTCCCCCTCCTCCTCCTCCTGCTCCTGCTCCTGCTCCTCCCCCTCCTCCTCCTCCTCCTCCTCCTCCTCCTCATCCTCCTCTTCCTCCTCCTCCACCTGCTCCTGCTCCTGCTCCTGCTCCTCCTCTTCCTCCTCCTTCTCCTCCTCCTCCTCCTCCTCCTTCTTCTTCTTCTTCATCTCTTCTCTTCCTCCTCCTCCTCCTTCTCCTCCTCCTCCTCCTCCTTCTTCTTCTCCTCCTCGTCCTACTCCTCCTCTTCCTCCTCCGACCATCTTGCCATCCAACCTCGGCGCGTCTTCTCCTGTGCTCGTTATCCTCCGTCTCCTCCTCCTCATGTTCCTCCTCCTCATGTTCCTCCTCCTCCTCCTTTCCCTCCTCCTTCTGCTCCTCCTCCTCCTCCTTTTCCTCCACCTCCTCTTTCTCCTCCTCCTCCTCTTCCTCCTCCTCCTCCTCCTCCTCTTCCTCCTCCTCCTCTTCCCCTCTCCTCCTCCTCCTCCTCCTCCTCCTCATCATCATCACCTTCCTCGACCTCCTTCTCCTCTCTCCTCCTCCGCCTCCTCCTCCTCCTCCTCCTCGCTCGCTCACTGTAAAAGCTGGAGCCCAAGTCAAGAGCGAAGAGAACAGGACGACGCCGCTAAATTCGCGAATTGTGCACTAGGATAAAGGCGGTCATGTCGACGGAGCCGCGGGGTCCCTCGAGCCCCCGTGAGAACCCCCAACCGCATCGCCAGGGAAAGGCGGTCCTCCCGAGGATCAAATCTGACGGGGGTGTGCCCCGATGTAATAGCCCACAACGCATGCCCCCCCCCCCCCGCCCCCCCCCGAGAGTCGGCCAGCGGGGTAGCGCAAACGTGTTGTAACGAACCTGCGCCCCCCCCTCACACCTACGGGGAATCCGTCCATTGGCAATATAGTCAAAAGGTGGGCTATCCTCCTCCTCCACCTCTACGACTTTACGCTTCTTTTTCTTATTGTGCTTCTCCTCCTCCTCTTCCTCCTGCTCGAACAGAGGATTGCGATTTTGTGGCGTGCTTGGCTCTGTCACTGAAGCCCTCAAGAAAATTATGGTGACTCCCCGCCCCTTCCCCCTCCTCCTCCTCCCCCTCCTCCTGCTGCTCCTCCTCCTCCTCCTCCTCCTCCTCCTCCTCCTCCTCCTCTCTCCCCCTCGTCCCCCTCCTCCTCCTCCTCCTCCTCCTCCTCCTCCCTGCTACTCCCCCTCCTCCTCCTCCTCCTCCTCCTCCTCCTCCTCTCCTCCTCCTCCTCCCCCTCCTCCTCCTCCTACACCTCCTCCTCCTCCTCCTTCTCCTCCTCCTCCACCTCCTCCAACTCCTCCACCTCCTCCTCATCCTCCGCCTTCTCCTCCTCTTCTTCCTCCTCCTCCACCTCTTCCTCCTCCTCCTCCTCCTCCGCCTGCGGCTGCTGCTCGTCGCTGCTCGCGCCCACCCGGCGAGACTCCGACACGCCCGTCCAGCGCACGGGGCGCCCGCGAAGCGCCCGCGGGCGCCCACCGGGCGGAACCTCGACGCGCCCACCACACGAAGCGCCAACGAAGCGCTCACGGGCGTCCACCGAGGAGGTCACTTTCCTACCACGGGGGACGAGGTCACGCTCAGCATGGTCCGCCCACGCCCTGCACGAAGGGCAGGGGTTAGGCGAAGTCTGTAAGCCACCCAGAAGACTCCGACGATGAGGTCACTTTCCTACCACGGGGGACGAGGTCACGTTCAGCATGGTTCGCCCACGCCCTGCACGAAGGCCAGGGGTTGGGCGAAGTCTGTAAGCCACCCAGAAGACTCCGAAAGGAAACCCTCGAAAGGGCAGGCTCGGCCAGGGACACCCCGGCTTTGCCAGCCCAGCAAAAAGCCCTCGGAGATGCACCGAAGGCCTGCGAGCAGGGAGGTGGGGCGGCGTGGGAAGCTCAAAGCCTGAAGAACAGCCAACTGAACGCGAAAGACCAGCTCCGCAGGGCGATGGATGGGGCGAGAGCTCCGTGCCAAGCAGGACGATGAGTGCAGGAACAGGAGGGCGGATGATCAGGGGCAGCAGCAGCAGCAGCAGCAGCAGCAGCAGCAGCAGCAGCGGCAGGAGAAGGCGAAGGAGCAAGAAAGAGGAGGAGGGGGAGGGGGAGGGGGAGGGGGAGGGGGAGGAGGAGGAGGAGGAGGAGGAGGAGGAGGAGGAGGAGGAAAAAGAGGTGGAGGAGGAGGAGCAGGAGCAGGGGGAGGTGGAGGAGGAGGACCAGTGTAAACCCAAGAGGCATCAACGATGTTGAAATCAAACCTCCCTCCAAGCTCCCTCTTCATAGGCCCCTACAACGGCTCATTTCCATTGAGGGACCTGCTTCGTTGGAAGACAACCGTTTCAAGATCCTGAAGCATGCCAAAAGATTGTCCTCGGGATTTCAACGCCACGGATCAACCGGACTGCTGCGCCTTGACGATCCCCGACCGTGCCAGAAAGTTAATTCTGGGACTTTAACACCGCGAACCAACATAACTGTTACACCCGCAGCATAATCCTGAATCCTTCCAAAACACAGTTTCTGAAGCGTTGATGATGGATGGGAATCCGTGAAACTCCTGCAAGTGTTCAAAAAAAACGAATGTGCGCGGCGCGGAGGCGAGAGCCACATTTTGAAAAGGAGCCGCCCTCAATCCGTGAAGCTCTGGCACATGCTTAAAACGAAGGTGCGCGGCGCTAAGGCGAGAGCTACGTCTTGAATTTGAACCGCCCTCAATCCGTGAAGCTCGTGCAACTTTTTAACAACGAATGTGCGCGGCGCTAAAGCTAGAGCCACGTTTTGAAAAAACCCGCCCTAAATCCATGAAGCTCTTGCAAGTGTTTTAACGAATGCGCGCGGCGCTAAGGCGAGAACCACATTTTGAAAACCGCCTGACCTCAATCCGTGCAATTCTTGCAAATGTCTAAAACGAATGTGCGCGACGCTTAGGCGAAACCCGCATTTTGAAAACGACCCACCCTCATGTTGAAGCTGTCATTTTTGAAGTTTCAAAAACATTTTTGTGCGTGAAGCTGCCATCTTTGTGCGTGAAGCTGCTGTCATTTTTGAAGCTTCAGAGTCATAAGTGGTGGTGAAGTCTCAGGCGAAACGCCCAGACCGCCCTAAAACTGGCCTCGGGGTGCGACAGGGAGATATTATTTATTAGGAAGAGGAACGGAGGATGACGACGACCACGAGGAGGACGACGACGAGGAGAAGGAGGAGGAGCCCCCCCCTACCCTGGGAGGCGCCTCGAGAGCGCCTTGGCCCGCTCCTGCTCGCTCCGCCCAGCGGCGATCGCGGCCTCGAGCCTAGCGCGGGCACGCGCGCGCGCTGGGGGCCCCTGGGCTGCCGCGCAACAGGCGAGCGCTGAGAAGGCCTGGGCACTGCGAGAGCGGCTGGCGGGGGGCGGAGGAGGAGGAGGAGGAGAAGGAGGAGGGGGAGGAGGGGGAGGAGGAGGAGGAGGAGGAGGAGGAGGAGGAGGAGGAGGAGGAGGACGAGGAGGAGGAGGAGAAGGAGGAGGAGGAGGAGGAGGAGGAGACTAAGAATTGAGATGTGGCAGATGAAACGGATGGTTCGATCAGCGGATCAAGTGAAGCAAACGAGCCAAACGTGCGTCAAACGGGCACGACAGGATGCATCCTGCGTGCCCCCGAGCAGAAATGGCCGCGGGACAGGCAACCAGAAGGCAGGCGAGGGAACGATTAAGAGGTGCAGAGACAGGAAGTCATACCGTTCGAGTCTGGTGCTCGAGCGAGTCTGGTAGTGCCTCACCGGCGAATGCGCAAACCACACCCAAGCCAGCGAAGCAAAGAATTAGCTAGGCGCAGAAGGCCTTCTACTGCTCAGGTTCCTCGCACACACTTGCGATCGGTGGTGAACAAAACTGCTCCTCCTCCTCCTCCTCCTCGTCCTCCTCCTCCTCATCCTCGTCCTCCTCCTGCGCCTCCTCCTCCTAATCCTCTTCCTCCTCCTCCTCCTCCTCTCCCGGATTCCGACAGACTTCCCTTGTAGTCCCATCTTGTCCCACCTTGTCGCATCCCCTACAGCTGGGAGGACTTGCCATCGCTCGGACGTCCAGTCCTCGTACATGTGTCGGCTTCGCGCGTGTATGTTTTGCTAGATGGCCCAACATGCTTCTCGATGGTTACGTTGTTCCCATCGTACGTAAGGACCACATCCCAGAAGTAAGTTCGAGCACCCAGAAAGGTATCGAAACAGTGCCTACCCGACACGCTAGCGAAGTGTCGAACGAGTATCGCCTCACAGGGACCCTCCAGTTTCGATACTTTCCTAGTGCTCGAAGTTCGTTCTGGAGACCAAGGCCACAGTGGGTTGGAACATCACAGTTCGACGGTCCTGGCTGAGCAACAATGCGCACGCCCGAGCGACGCCAAGGAGAGTGGAGGGCGATCTCCTGCCAAAGCGGAGCTCCCGCCCGACTTGTGGGCCCACGGGGCTCCGTCTCTCGAGGGGGGGGGAGGGGGGCGCCCCTCGCAGCGAGACCTCAAATGCTCGTGAGGGCTCCTGCGGCGGGACTTGTTTCAGGACGGGAGGGCGCTCTGCAGCGTCG